ACTGCATCCTAAGCTCTCGAAGCATCGCCGGGCTTCACGTGCCCAAGTCTGGGGTCTTTTCTCATAACCCCTCCCTGGAATCTGAGGGAATATCCAGGCCCGCTCCAGTTAATCCCCTCCGTGTTTTCTTTTATTTCCATGTGAAAAGAGTTTTGAATGAAACCAGCGTTTTCAGAATGAGCCCCTTCCCTGGACTTTGTGCTTATCATGCAGCTGGCTTAGTTTCCCCAGCCCTTTCTCACCGTATCCCTCACCTTTTCTGGGTCATTGATAATCCAGCTTCCCTCTGCAAAGCACCCTGGGAAGACTTGAGTTGCTGTGTCCCAGAGTTGACAGGTCTCTTCTGTTTTCAGATTCACCACATTGTCAGATGGAACCTGATTTTTCCCCCCTTTAGCTGGCAAGGGACATCTTTGAGGTGTCCTGAAATCGTTATTTGAAGAACACATCAGTAGAAACAAAGAGCTCAGCTGGATGACCGTAGATTGCCACCCACAACACCCCCTATCCCAAAAGTGGTGTTTTTTTTCTTGAGGTCTTGTTCCCATTTGATAATAGTTCGAGACGATGTGGAAATTAGCGACAAATTTCCATAAATACTTCTGTCTCTTTTTACTTTTAACCGTTAAAAGAGTCTTGCTTTTATGGATCTGTTTTTCTAGACCATCCTTGGAGAAACACAGGAGGAGGAGGATGAGATCCTTCCAAGGAAAGACTATGAGGTGAGATTCTTAGATGCTGTCTTGGGTAACAAAAGCAGTGAGTGACCTGGTCACTTCCGACCGAAACATTAGGATTTCAGTGAGAGATGCTCTTTGTCTCTCCCAGGGAGTGAATGGGTAAGAAGAGGTCATGTGTCTCTCTCTCGAGAAACGAGCTGTTTAACAAGCCCTTTTCTCACCATGACCCCAAAACAGGGTCTGGGTATGTCTCCGTGCATTCACAGGTCTATGGTACCTTAACCTGGATAGAATATGTTTGCTGTTAAACTATTTGCTCTTATAGCTAGAGACCCAGAGTCAAAGCCACTGATAGTGGGTGTTCATGACAGGTGTGGGACAGGAGTGTGTGCTTCTGTTCTGAGAGAACTTCGTTTTCAGATAGATGATTGTTTCCTGCCCAAGGAACTTTTTTCTGAAGTGCTCTTAATTATAGTCCTTGTTTCAACTATGGGATTTTTAGTGTGTGTGTGTGTGTGTGTGTGTGTGTGTGTGTGTGTGTGTGTGTGTGTGTGTGTTTAGTAAGGCCAGTGCTGCTGGAGTAAAACCAAACAAATACACCTCTTTATCATTTAATCCGTTTACGATAATGTGTCTGTGATTTTTGAAATAACAAAAACAAGCCTTGGTTGTGATGGAGAATTCTTAAACTGTTTACGAAAAGAAGCTAGAGAAAAACCCATAACCCTGTTCATTAAAAGATGACCATTAACCTGACTGAATGTCCTTTTCCATGTTCCCATTCCTGCTTTTTTTAAGTTACAAGTGTGATTTTTACTACATGTACTATTTTAACATGTTTTTCCCCAACTTGAAAACAACTTTCGTATTGCTAAGTACTTTCCTACAGTATCTTTTTAAATAGACAAATATTTTTTATTATGCCACAATTATTTAATTTGATTTTTTCATAGGATGAACTATATAGTCTTGACTATCCTTTCTTGTTCATTTTTAATCGCTTCCTTAAGCAATTCTAAGAAGTGTAATTAATCATGTATGTATAACGCTTTTTTAAAAATGTCACATGGGGCACCTGGGTGGCTCAGTCGGTTAAGTGTCCGGCTTCGGCTCAGGTCATGATCTCACGATTTGTGAGTTCGAGCCCTGAGTCAGGCTGACAGCTCAGAGCCTGGAGTCTGCTTCAGATTCTGTGTCTCCCTTGCTCTCTGCCCGTCCCCCGCTCATTCTCTCTCTCTCTCTCTCTCTCTCTCTCTCAAAAATAAATAAACATTAAAAAAAAATTTTTTTTTAAATGTCACATAGACTAAAAGTTCAATATTTTAGGGCACTAACAGACTAGTTTTCTTTTTAACATTTTATCTTTTGCTGTAGAATTTAGTACAGCTAATAGGATTTATTAGTATAACATGGAATTTCAAAAAACCTTTCGTTATAGAGGATTTCAAACATAGAGAAAAATGGACAGGATAGTATATTGAAATCCCTTGTACTCATCATACAGTTTCAGCATTCAACTCCTGCCCAACCTTGTTTCATCTGCCTCCCATCCTCTTCCCCTTCCCTTATTATTTCGGAGAAAATTCTACCCATCACGTTATTTCACCCGTAAATAATTCAACATGCATCTGTAGAGGATAAGGTTTTTTTGTTTTTTTTTTTTTAAATGTTTATTTATTTTTGAGAGAGAGGGAGAGAGGTGCAGAGTATGAGCGGGGAGGAGCAGAGAGAAAGGGAGACACAGAACCCGAAGCAGGCTCCAGGCTCCGAGCTGTCAGCACAGAGCCCAACACGGGGTTCAAACTAACAAACTGTGAGAACATGACCTGAGCCAAAGTAGGACATTTAACCTACTGAGCCACTCAGGCGCCCCAGGGAATTTTTTTTAGCAAAACAGGATACCATGTTCATACCTAAGAATTTAACAATAATGCCTTGATATTAAGTGTCCAGTGTTCAGATTTCTCAGTTGTCTGATAAATGTCATATAATTTTTTAATAGTTTGTTTGAACCCAGTTCCAAATAAGGTGCTCACATTGCATTTGTTTGATTATCTTTTAAGGTTTTTTTAAACTTTTTTTTTTTTTTAAGTAATCTCTACTCCTAGTGTGGGGCTCAAACTTGCAACCCCAAGGTCAAGAGTCACAAGCCCACCAGGTGCCCTCCTTCTAAATTTTTTTTAATCTGTAGGTCTCTCCTTCATCTTTTTCTTCCCTTGCAGTTGACAGAATAATTTTAGGACTCTGGCATTTGCCAGTTGCACACCGTGGTATATGCTACACTGACGGGAATGCTTTTCATGAATCAAAATAAAAAAGCACAGTATCTACTGTGCACACATCTACTGATGTGTTTTCCCATATTTCTAAAATATTTGTGTCCGTGCACACTGTTGAGAGGTTTGCAACAATTAGTATAAGAAGCCCCATAGTGTGCTGTCACCTTACATTCCCTCACTGAGCCCAGTGATGTTACCCTGAATGTGTGACCATGACTGGAACTTTCTGGCAGCTTTCATCTACCCCCTGGAACTCACCATGGTTTCTCTGCTCCATTGATCCTGCTGTTCCCCAGCCTCCTCCTCTCCTTTTACTAAATTGCACTTACGTTTGTAATGCATTTACTTTCACCTGATATGCATATTTATGTAAATGTTATGGGTTAATGTTCTTTCATGTGAGTCATTAATATTTCTCAATTAACTATCTTCAAGGATGAGCTTCTTGAGAACATTTGCCTTGCATAAGAGCAAATTTAGCTGGACGCTTAATCAGAAAAGTCTGCTCAGATTTTATTAGGGATCAACTAGAAAACCCTCCTTTTGAAATTCTAAAATGTGCTCCTTCTCATTCCTGCCTCACTAAGAGTTCATTACACCTACTTGACTAATTTCTTTGTAAGTTGGGGGTCTTACAAGATGTTAGGATTGCTGTTTTGACATCCTGTCTCGTGCTGGATGGTTCATCTGTGGGATGAGTCTGTTAACAGACAGTGATGTTTCATGCTGGTCACAGACCCTCTATTGCTGTTCTGAATTAGGGAAAGGCACCCCTCAGAGCAGAGGATTTAGAATAAAAGGCCTCTCCCTTTGGGCCACAGCAGCTCCTCTAGCTCAAGACCCATTGAAAGTGCTTCTTGTTGGTGGAACGTGGGCTGCCTTTCAGCCCCACTTGCCCTCTTCCCCCGCTCCCCCCACCGTGGCTGTATACCATTTTGCTCATAACCTTGGGCAGCAGGACACCTATACATATTTTATTTAAAAAAAAAAAAA